AAAATCAATGTGGAAGTGATGGCCGCAAAACGTGAAAAAAATGTCGGTTAACACTCAGTTCCAGTAGTGTAATTGCTAACAAGACCAACTATTATGGAAGTGGTCATGGTTATTACCATAATATCTTCAGTGGTTGCAGGTTCTGGTTAAGTAGAGATGCAGAATGAATAAGGGTGTGCCGTTGAAAATGATGGCAACAAAACAAACAAAACAGATGCGTTGCCTGAAAATGCAAATTTTTTCTTTGGTTCTACCAGAAAGCAATAGCCTTGTCCCTTCTAAAACATCTCATCTATCAGCAAATAGGAGTTGCTGAGGGATTATAAGGGTTGAACTCGGGTCTTAGAATGGCAAAAATTGACCATTACTTTAACAGATTACATCTTAGAAGAGACATGCTAAACATCTAACTCAAATTCACTTGCAATGGAAAGGCTGCACATATACTTTTTGGGGTGATACTATATTGATGTGTGAAGTAGCCTGTAAAATCAGAACATGTGTAGTTGTGTACACACCACAGAGGAACACGTGGCAAAAGCAAGGAAACCACTGGCTGATGTGGCAGGATGGGCCCCCTCAAATTACAAGAGCTGCGGTACCACGGAATAACAAACGCACCAAATGCACCCTCCTCATGGTGGAAGCGACAAAAAAACCCCTTGATTAAAAAGGGAAAAGAATGCCACCGTAGAAGTACGAGGCAACCTTAGTGTGATCTGCCTAACCCACCTCCCCACTATTGAAAGAAAGGGATGTGGTTGGGACCCTGCGAATGGTAAAAAATGGTATCCCTAGCAAATCCTCAAGGGGTACTCTCCAAACAAGTCTACTTGAGAGAACCTATATCACCCATTGGATGCCCGCAGTGGTAAAGTCAACCAATGTTATACTGTTACTCACCTGACCCAAGGGACCAAGAGAAGGGCCCCCCATTTTGGACAGGAAAAAATAGTGCTTCTCAAAGGAGAATTGGGCAACTGAGGAGGATGAGCATGATTGTTAACCTCGGCCTCAGGTAAGTTCTTAAAAGTTTAATTTGCTCAAGAAAGCCTCATAGTGGATGACTCACTGCTCACGGTTCTGCTTGACAAGGATCTCAAAGGACTCCTAAGTTACAGGAGGTTAATGGTCTAGGTCAACATATGAAATGATGGCACATGTGGATTGAGGGCTAAAAGACCAAAACTATGCGAGTATCCCTGATTGCTCGACAAAAAGCCTCAGAAGGGAATTCTAAAGGGAAGGAAAGACCCTTGGATACACATTGAGGTTTCTGACTACAAGGACTAATGACCTTCTTCTACATTTTGTACACTAGAGGCACTGTGAACATGATAATCCCGCGGTGAGTCGTCGCGACCCTTCGCCTCCAGTGTGCCCCCTTGGCTCGAAAGATGTGCCCCTTCCTCAAGGGATGAGTCCAGACTGAATATGAGGATATTTCATATCTACCTAACTAATGCTTGGGATACTTGGCACGCGGTGAGTGGCCATCAGTATAAGCTATAGTTGAGATAATTGCAGGTAGGCACAACTACCACGTACAGAATTGACCCACATACAGAGTATGTGCAGGCAGCCCATAGGGCAGTGTTGCCCGCCTGAGTACCTGTACTATAACTACTTTCATCACTTATTCCTACAGTACATACAACTATCCTGTCTGAAATAGACTTTCTGGCTGGTGCAAATATATTCACCAACTTCACCTACCCAAGAAATCTTTTATCTACTGGTCACTCCCGACAGTGGATAGACAGCTCGAGTCTTTTCATCCAATTCATCCATCATACTCATCTCTTCGAATATATTTGGTTTTGATACGTGTGTCAACCTCTTCAACTCCCCACCTATAATGTTTAGCATTTCACAAACTCTCACATCCTGTGTGATTCACAACTGCATGTGGAGAGATAAACATACCCCCATAAACATACAGGGAACTAAATTCCAAATCAGAAACAGTAAACATAAGAGTTTTGTCCAAATCCTCCCAAAATTCAGTTATCATACCATATGTAACGCAAAACTAATAGGTGATGGAAGGAGACACCAAAAAGATCTGTATAAGCAAAATAGAGGATATTACACTAATGTGAGACAAAAGTCCTATCAGATCGAACCCTTGACCTCCCTACTGCAAGGCGAGGAGAGGGGCTAGCCACCGAGCTAAGCCCGTGGTGGTAAAAAAAAAAACATACCAACCTTCCAAGCATAGCATACACACAAACACGGGAAAAATGCTATAGTCTTGGAATTCAAACCCATTTTAGTAGCCACAGAAGAAAACAAATCAAAGAGCATTACCAATTCTTACTCAAATTTGACTCACATTTAAATTTGAATAAAAACAAACTAAAAATATTAAAACATCTTCAATCCTTACTCAAATCTCCTGTATCAATTTTAAATTTAAGTCAAAACAGCTAAAAACAAGTCCCAGTGATTAGTTTTGACTCAAACTCGTACTGAAAAGTGAAAATGAGCAGAGACTTAAATCAATTTTTTACTTAAATCTTTAATGATCAAATTTTATCCTCTTTGAAAAATTCAATAGTCATATTTTATCATCGTTTAAATTTGAGTTTCTCAATTTGTATCAGATCAATTGTTTTTATAAATTGACAGACCTAAATACTGTTACGTTAGATCCTACTTGCAAATCCCTAATAATCGTTAACGATTGTTGTTGTTATATGAGTTACCTGAGAGAGCAATTTGGAGAGGAGATGGTGGTGACCTTCATCGTCATCGACAGCGACCAAGGTGCTCTCATCGGATGATGAGGACCCATTTTTGTTCCCTTTTTTCTCGTCCTCCATTAGTTGCTTTATGACTGTCTGTACTAGCTCCATCTTATCCTTCGATGTCTCCATTTGACACACACACACACACACACACACACACACACACTCTCTCTCTCTCCCTCCCTCCGTCTCCGAAGAGAGTTTCTATCATTATATGAGGAGCAAGAGATCCATGGGACCGAGGGATTCGGAAGTCAAAACGCTACACAATCTAACCGTCAAAGCCTAACCATATTAATCCAAAAAAAACAAAGCCTAACCATATATCATCTGTTGCCATGTGGTGCTTGTTACGCTATCGCGGCCTAATACTTTTTTTTTTTCCGGTGCTATCGTGGCCTAATAATTGATTAGGCAGTAATGTTAGATGGACTAAATTTTGAAATTAAATTTAAAATTTAAATGACATGATAATTGATTATTTAAAATTTTTATTGAAATTCAAATAACATGACACCAATCAAATAAGCTTAAGTCAACTGTCATGTCATTTGAACTCTAAATTTAATCCTAAAATTTGATCAATCTAGCATTACTCATTGATTGGGTTCATCGAAAAAACTAGTACCAGCGTCAATAACAAGTGCAAAAGTGGTGTGTGTTCAAGGGTACCTTTTTTTTTCTTTTTTGTTAAAGGATAAAAATACATAGATTGAGCTTATTTTCTTTTACTTGTACTGAAATGTTTTGAGCTATTTACCTTCAATAACGTTAACTTTTTAAAGAACCAAATCTTTAGACTCATTCTAATAGCTTTTGAGCAATGTTCTTAGAATTTAATTTATTAACATAATTTATTGATCTAATTCATTATTACTTTTAGATTTACTGTAGATCTCATCAAATATTGAAATTTGATATTGATCCAATAATTCCTATGAAATCACATCGTTATATCAATAAATTAGGTCAAAATTTTAAGTTCAAATAGTATTACTTAGCTTTTTTTGGATTATATTTTGACACAAAAAGATTCCACACCTTTGTCTTTCATAACTCTGTCCATATCGTGTTATTCGTGTCAAAATTTAATATTATTTATTTATTACTCGTGTTAATTAATTATATTATTTTTAAGTTTTGAGTTAGATCAAGTTTGTGTCAAATTCGTGTTAACGGATAAAATTAACATCCCTCCTAGCTGATAAAGGTCATCAGGCCTGTCATATTGATTTTGTGCACACGATAAAAGTGACTGCTAAAGGCCCATTTGATAATTACAGATACTAACGATGAAGTCAGGTTACCATGCCACAATTGCAGCAAATTCATACAGAAACCGGGCCGAAATTGAGCCCTTATACCTATTTGGGCTCACAGAGGAATGGCAAATCGAACGAGTAAAGCACTTAACAGGTTTACATTCTCAAAACACGCCTGGATGAGTAGTCATTTCCGCCACACACAGACGAAAATAGAAAGAAATAAGCCAATACAATAGAAGGAAGGATACAATACTGTAAGAAGCAAGCTATGGTCATGCCCATACAACAGAAAGAAATAAGCCCAACTGTTTCTAGTCTTACACTAGAGTTCGTAATTTTTGTAAGATGGTCATGCCGTTCGTAACGTTTGGTAGGAAATTGACTCTAGAGTTGACCATTGTAGATGCAAAGGAAAGAGATTAATTCTTTGTAAAAGAAAAGCCGGCATAAAAAACAATATATCCATGTACACAGAATCACTGCACCAACGCAGATTAAGCCTTGGCAACCTCATTAATCACCATTTACATATATTACAAGCAGCATTTACAGAATCAATACATGAGCACAGGCAGTAATCAATCCGTATCATTTACAACTTCTATGAAATATAAACCATAACATAGACTGGAACTGAAAAAGTCACCCAATGCTTAAAATTGGTCTACTATCAAATTTAAAGTTAAAAGAGGATTAGCAGTTGCATCTAGCGAAACAGGTATGTGTAATCATCATTATCCATATTCCATATGTCAGCTTGAGAAGGCGATGGTGCTTCACTTTCTGTGCCATCAAGTTCTGCCTGCAAATCAATTGATAGAGTGATATGAATTACATGATGGCCAACTTGCAGTAGGGATGGATCCCATCCACGAAAGATTCAGGCCCAGAATCAACTCGGTATACTGTATTTACTCAGTGATCATACATTCAAATGGGGATCCCCAAATACATTTTGAAGAGTAGATAAAAATGATTTAACTTTTGGACAATAAACACCAAGGTTTTGGCTTAGATGAAACTACATTGTCCCCCAATACAACAGGCATCCAGTGTCGAGGTTGACATTTTGTCACCGCACACAAATATTTGCAATCTCATCAATTTATCTATATTTCTACACTTCCAATCGTATAACTTTAAAGGCTGAACTCAACAAATTACATGCAACAATTCTACTGTATATGATGATAATACCTTCTTGCTTCTCATTTGCTTACAACAACTGCTATATGTAGACATGTATCTGTTGCATGTTTGGTTTGTTTTGGTGACACCCTTTTTAGTTTCTTTATTAGCAAGTTTAGGCATGCACATTTCTTGGAACACATGCTGTGAAAAAGGCGCGGCCGAGCTGCCGAGATAGGAAACCCATATTATGGACTTGATGGATCAGACAGTGTCTGAATTAACATGCCTCATGTTAATATGAAGACATGATGTGTTAATACCTTAGCTTGGTGATATCTTTCAAGCATGCGACGATATTGCTGACGTGCCTCTTCAGACTCAACCATAGACAGCACTCTTGAGACAGCCTCATTGATAGCTGCATCCACTTTCTGCTTCCGGAAAACCTTAAGAATGTCTTCATCTTCACTTTCAACAATGGATTCTGATTCATGCCGAAATCCCCGCAAACCAGCTCCTTTCCGACGCCACCTTAGTACAACCTTCTCCAGGATACCAACGGCCCAACAGATCACCTTATAATTCTTCCTAACTTGATGGCCTCTGACATGAGCCTGCCAAAACAAGCATCTGAATCAAATTGCGTTCTATACCTTTGACTTATTCAATTAGAAGCTGAATGTACAAAAACAAAGGTAAGGGTTTTAGTATGCATGTCTCTTGCTTGTCTGATGCAAGTTACAGTTTAGCCTGCCATTTCCAATTGGCTAATCCATTGAGCCAGGTGATTGCACGTGTCTGTGTCAGTGAATACTTAAAGAAAATCGGCATTTATCTTATTGCTTTAACGAGGTGAAATGCCACTTACAACATGATTTTTCTAGAAGATAGGGAAAGTTCTGCATACCTTAAATGGTTAATAGTCAATCACATTGCACATTTTCCAAATGAAGATTGCATAAATGCTTCTCAAAATAAGGACCATCGAAATGTTAAGAAGTTCATAAGAGAAAGGTGGGTTTTTATTTTATTTTATTTATTTATTTATTTATTTATTTATTTTTTGGGGTGGGGGGGGGGGGGGGGATTTCCCTGGAAGAAGCAGGCACCTGTATCTTCACGACTTTCTGCCGAAATGCAAGAAATTCCTTCCGACCTTTCCAACCCCGGTATTTCTTCTGGATTGATAAAGCAGCTGCATTGCAATCACGTGCATGGGGGAATGCCAATTTTGATGCAGCTGAAAGTGCTCGTGCATCATTTAAGAGGATACTGTACTCATCTCCACTAGCATCAGCATCAGCAGCTGCAGAAGTTTCTCTCTGTTGCCGCCTTCTGAAAGAATGCGCACGAAAAGCAGATTGTATGCGTGCTGCAGCCTGAGCTGCATTGCGGACAGCAGCTAAGGTGTCTTTAAGATAAAGCTGATCCGCATCTGTAGCTAGACTCCCATTTGAGATTCTATTGACTGTTTTTTCTGCTTCCACATCAGCTGAACCTTTAGAGAGCTCACTTTCTTCCACCGTGAGTGATGAAAGATGGCTAGTTAGTGCCACCTCTGAAAGATATCCGGCAAGTCCCTTGCGTCCACAGGTGGCAGCAATGGATGCTGGGGTTTTACCTGTTGGGTCCTGTGAAGTAGGATCTGTAACTGCGCAGGCTGATGCACCAGATGCGATGAGCCCAGCTACAATCGTTTCCCTGTTAAAAGAGCATTTTAGATCCACCATTCAGAAAACTTTTAAGCTTTCCAGCCCTGATATAGAACGGAGGTATTTGTTATAGTAGTCTACTTGGGACTACTAGCACAAACCAAGTAGAATCAATGAATATAAACATACAGCTAGGTTCTTACTCATCCAAGATATAAGGAGCCCAAAGAATGTTGTACAAAATATAATTTTCTGCACTATATCCAGAAATTCATCAAGCAATCACAAAGAAGTGAAAAAATAATTGTGAAGCTTTATATCTAGAAATGACTGAACACAGATTATTTGCACAAAGTAACTATCCTAAGATTCAAAACCATAAACTTGCTGTTGTTAACCCATGCTTTTTAATACTGAAGTAGTCTACATATGCCAAGATAATCAACTATGATGAGTTTTATAATATTTGTTCAACTGATAAAAACAAACTTTATCCGCATTTTCTCTTAGTCAATCAATAAAACTAATCTACTTAAGGCGTCAATATTTTAGGAAGATTTTGACAAGTAAATATCTGTTTCCCAATCATAAAACTAATGACCAAAATGCTAAAATGATCTTAATTCTATATAAAGCGTACATGAATCTATAAAATGCATGTCACCAGCCAAATCCATTACCTTCCAAATCGTGCAGCCCAATGTAGGGCAGTCCACCCATTAATGTCACGGAAGTCAATGCTGATTCCAGAATTGAGAATCGGGTTCAATGCCCACTCAAAACCTAATCCAGCAATCATATGTATTATTCCTTGTTCTTTTTTGGACAAGGAACAGCCTGGTTGGTCACTACCTTCCTGTGATCTAGTAGAAAGCCAATGTTGCAATTTGTCTTTCAGAGTTTCCTGCAGCAGCCAATCCATTGTGCTAGATGTTGTCAATGCGCCAACTAAAATTGCCTCAATGACTTGGCCCCATGAATCTTCGCCAGCTTTGAACTTCCCAAATAAATCAATCCCTGGTTCAGTTTTTTCTCTTTTCTGCCTTGATGGATCAGATAGTAACATCTGCACAAATCTGACAAGCAACAGCAATTCTTCTGGACTCTTGCTCGGCTCTGTTCCTGGAAAATAACAGTGTGCAGAACTACTTGGCTTATCGCGGTATTCAAACCACCTGACTTCGCTACAG